TGAAGAAATAAAAAATTATTGAAAACAAGAGAATCAGAAAAACAACTACCATTATCACCAAGAATCAAAGAAGGATAGCAATTAACTTGTAAGTATTGCTTCCAAGACTACTATCAAGAATGCCTATACTATAACCTTCTTGAAGTACAACGTATCCAAATATGTGGATGTAATCAGAAAAAAGTAATGAACGAGAGAATCCACTAATGGAAAACACTTGGAAACAAATCATACCAAAAAGTGCATAACTTACCAACCTACCATTGTTGTAGCTACCAACGACTAGTTAGAAAAAATGATCACTTTATACTAAACGACATTGAAGTAATCAACCCTGACAATGAAAAGAACTATTATAAAGAAATACTACTTTGCAAAACCTGCTACCATACCCAATTCGAAGAATTAGAAATTAATGACCTGAAAGCAGAAGAATATTATAAAAAAGAAGGAATCAATAAACTAACCAAATGCAACTTCTGTTGCAAACCAATTAAAAAAAGACAAGGTTATCAACTCTGGAATACAGGACAATATATGTGTTGCTTAGAAGAAATGATAGCATTCATGGTCTATGCAGAAATAACTGACAGATCAATATATTGAACTCATCAACAAATCTACCATAGAACAAGATATGGTGTATACGCGAGCAAAAGTATTAATAAATCAAAAATCTATAGGCTAATTGCTTTAATTAAAGAAGAAGAAACTTTACTATACAAGGAAGAAATTCCTAAACAGTATAACCGCAAATCAATACTTTTACGAGAAAAGGAAAATAACATTATCCATGATTGGCATATAACCCACTACAAATGATCAGAAATAATTACATCATCTTATGATAAATTAGATGATCAATTCAATGACTCAGATAAACCAATCACTGATCAAGATATAGTCATAGAACCAACTAAAATAGAAAATTATAAAACAAACCAAGAATATGACAACATAGCAACTATTTCATTAGAAGATAAAGAACCAGAAGAACTAGATGCCAAAAATTGGAAAGAAAAAACAGTGCAATATAAAATATATGATGAACCACAACTGGATATCAAAGAAAAAGAACTTTGCACAGAATGCAAATACGTCTATAACAAAAAAGAATTACTTAACAGATATTGTAACAAATGTTACAAAGAAGTTACCAAATGCATTGGATATAAATAACCAACACCTGTTGAAATATTAAAAATGCAAAATGTACTATTTGTTTCTAAAAAGAAATAGAAAACCAAAGAAAACAAGAAAAAGATCAAATTCACGAAATCAAAAAGAAGAATTCACACCAAGCAAAAAACTCAAAGTAACCACTGAAATCGAAGAGTTTAACTTTAAAAAAATCAAAGGAACCGAGATAGAACAAATGAAACAAGAAATAACTAACCTGAAAAAAATAGCTGTTGAACAAAATGAGAATATAAAATACCTCGCTGAAGCGATAAAAATTCATCAAGAAATGAATAATACACTCCATCTCGAAAACAATAAATTAAAAAGAAAAATTGAAGAACACTGAGAACATGATTACCTAACAAGACTTAGACAAATAACAACTTGGAGAAACCAAGCTGTAGCAGAATTTGTAATATTAGGACAAGAATATCCCAAAGAAAAATTTAATAAACTGCACAAGGAATATCTTAACAACCTTAGAAATAATTCACTCTAAAAAATGGAAAATAAAAAACACCCCTGAAAAACAAAGTAGTAAACAAGGTGCCCAAGTAATGCCAAAACAAAATAGTTTATCTTTTATTATTGTAATTTATACAAATATTTACATTAGTCATATTTTATAACAAATGTATTATTAATCATATAAATAGCTGAAAAAGAATTATAAATAATGAAGTATTACAAAAGAACTAGAAAAACTTATAAAAAGGACATGGTTTTGACCAAAGCTCAAACATGCCCAAACACACTAATCATAAAAAACGAATACCTATAACATGAGAAAGATATACAGTTTGCGAATATTGCAAAGCTAAAAACTTACCTTGTGATAATAAAATACCTTGCACATTTTGTAAACTTAGTAATAAAACCTGTAAAAGAAAATATCGTACATCAGATAAAACAAAAGTACTTAGAAAAATATTTGACGCAAAAATAAACCTACTACATACAATTGAAGAAGCAAAGTTAATCTTTGAATCACTCAAAGAACAACACGACTTTGATAAACTCTACGAAATACTTGATAATCTACAAGATACTTCTGACAAAGAAAGTGGATGCCCCAATATACCACAACAAGTAAAAGAATATACACCACACTATATACCAAGCACACCTGTATAGAGTGCCATACCCATAAATGAAAGTATACCAAAGTATTATCAACAAACATTAACAACTGTAACAATTGTATTGAAAGACAAATATAAACAACACAAGAAAAGAGAACCTAAACCTGGATACAAACTAGAACTTAATTAT